TATTCCCCATGTCATGGTGATGAATGACCGAAAACAATTGTTTGTCAATACGACTTTTCAATCGTAAAATGGGAATTTTCGCAGACCATACTTATGTCCTTAAGTGTTAACATTAGGGTTAGCTTTCGGCCTAGACTTCGCCTTAGGAGTTAGATTACCGGCGTTGTTTACTCCAAACACATTCAGTTCCGGCCATCAGGAGTCGGATTTCACGATATATACTTCACTTCTCCTCCCTCAACGCAATGTGTCATCACGCCTGGAATATCCTACCAACGCCCTACGTTTTCATTTTTCTCGTCCATTTACAACTCCCCATTTACAATAATTCACGTTGCGTGCTCGGGGTTTTACGCTTCATTGATATACTTGAACAAGCTGATAGCGCAAATGTTAATTTTATGTCATTTTTTACCCCATTAATAAAATCCCCCCTGTTACGGTTTCCGTATTACACGATGTCTTGCCTACCGTCTTTTTGAAGGGGCCGCATATCCGGGTGTCACCAAGGATGGGATTTAATGATCAAAAGTAGTTACCTGGCGCAATTCATTGCGAAGGTAATGGACTTGAAAGTCAGCATAAAAATAAAAAACGGATTCTCAGGTAGTCAACAGTTCAATTAATTTTATCGATGATGAGACAGAGAGTTAAAAAAACAATTGCAGCAACTGCCAGATCACGTACCACGTCAAAACTCCATCCACGTATTCTTCGTGGGCTGAGCACAGCTCATCCAACGTGCTGACCGATGTGAGCTGTTGTGGTAGGGAAGCGACAATATTGGGAGACAGGGGGTCGGAAGTAAACCACTTATCAGATCCAATACGACGCAGAAAGGCAGACCAACTCCCCTTTACAACCTGCGTTGCGAAGTAAGCGTCCACACAACGGATCACCTGTTCCATTTCATGACGCCACAAGGACGCCTGAAAGATGCCACTATAAGCGTAGGTACGATTTTGGCCTGAATCAAAGAACAACTCCGGTTACAAGTTTTAAAAAAAAACTGAGCAAGGCGATCAATTTAAATGTAAACCATGCGATTGCCTTACAGGAGCTGCGCAGATGTCGGTAGACTGCTTCCAAAGCCCATATAGCGTGCTTGACTCGTGCTAGCTCGCAGAACACCGAGTTGTACTTGGCCAGGATATGACGGTGAAGGCAAATATTTAGCGGCCAGGGTGCTTCGTACACAATGGCGAGCGAATCAAAGAAAAACGGTCCTACAAGGACGGAGAATGCAAATAGTATGCAGTGACAGAACCCCTGCATTGTAACGTTTCGAACAGACAATCACAAGGATTAAGCACAAGTCGACGTATGGCTGGTATTTAAACACATAAATAAGAAATAATGGGAAAATACGATAACTATTAAATTGCCCGTGGGTGTTATAAAACTATAAACTTATAAACTATACTTATACTATACTTCTTTGTAGACATAGTTATGGTCATTGTTGCACTTGCTAAGACGGAAATCCTACACGAAAGATATCCTTTCTAAGAGTATAAAATTTAAAGGCGTAATTTTCCACCAAACGAGTACAATAAAGGCAGTCAAAAGCATTGATAAAAATTCATACTACATTCATAGCCACTTTTTACAGTACATAGGTTTTTTTAGCGGTCAGAAGCTCGTTAAAAAGCCGACATCCTATCATGACTGAAATGACTTGATAATAGGCTACACGATAATCAGCATTACAACTTTAATGCCGATTATCGAAAGAGTATCAATCTATCGCATATGTCGGCAGGTTACACGAATTCTACGCCGTACTGTATTATCATTAAATCCAAAAAAGGAAATACATGAACTGCACCTTTGACGAATACGAATCGCCGACAAGACGGAAGAAAAATATTTTTGAGAAATGAATACTACATCAGAGGAAAAGACGGACCAATATAAATATGCAAATAGGAAAATCATAAATGGTTTGCCACACCACAGAGTTATCTCACCGATCATGGTAACTGGCATCGCTTGATGTGTGTTTTAATACATACACACATTTCAGTCGCGAATTAACACAGTTTCTCACCACAGTTTTCATAAAAATAACACCCTCCCCATGACAAGAAAAATCCATAAGTGTATTCAAAAGACAGCACAATGTACTTCAGGAGTAATTGTTTGATGAAAAGTCATTATATGACAGTACATTAACTAGTCCACACTTGTGCTAAATGTAACTGCTAAAATAATGGTTTCTACAGAAACCACGATCGAATTTCGTTTTACACTATGCCCCGTATTAAAGAAACGAAACCTACAGCGAGCCTATAAGACATTTCCCTGCTCGATTGTTGTAGTGGAGGAGGAGGAGAAAGAAGGAGCGACAGATGGTAGGGATGCTGGTGTTTCAGGGTAAGAGTAGGGAAGAGAGTCTCAATACAAATTCAGGCATCACAGTCATAAAAGCAATCTGTCTTACCGTCCTTCAAGGGTTCCAGCTTCGGTAGACGAGTTAGGCGGAAGGGCAGCTGGTCTTCCATCATGCCCCGCGGTCGTTGAATAGAGATGTGAGAGAGCGCCTCGTTCAAGCTCTCCGGGTCAAAGACAGACCGTAAACAGTCAGAAGAAGACGGACTTGAGAGCTAACCAAATGCAGAAATGGGAGGGGGGTGGATAAGAGCAAAAATGGCGTCGACCTCCTGAAGGAACGGATTAAAACAGCTAGTTACAAGTTGCAGACAGTCAGCTGGTCAGTCTGGACCATGGCAGCTAGGAGAGCCGGAATGAATGCACGCATGTGAGTACAGTGAATCATGTGAATTACCATAGCGACAGAGGTTAAGGAGCACTGCACAAAAAGTAAAAAAAGAAAACAAAAACGTGGGCAGGCGCAAAGGTGGCTTTTAAAAGTGAAAGTCGTCTAGAACAAGCAGGTGGAAAGCAACTGAGTTCATGAAAAGTATGTCTATTTCTGCATCGCTTTCGATGTGACCGACTGATACATCAAGCGGACTTCCGTGAGAAACACATACTTCTCACGTATTTTTCTCCGCTCTATGCACGCCACATCAGGCAGCTAGTTATGGTTTCAGTCAGAATTAGTCTCACGCAATCAGATATTTATGAGACAGAGATAGCCATTTTCGTGGCGTCTGGATCAATGCCAGATATTTTTCGATTGTTTGTTCATTGGGTTAGATTAAGGTCGTGGGGTTTACTGGTGATCTGTAGGAAAGTTATTCCTTTTATCGTCTTTATGCACTTTATCTCTCTTTCTTTCACAAATCGAGACTAGCTTTCTGTCATCAGTCTCAACTACGTTGGTTTATCGTAGTTTTGCGACATTACGGCGTCTTTTATTGGAAAATTCGGTGCGAAGTAGATATGAACTGGCAGTAGTTTGCAAACGAGTACCCATAGGCGTCACGGGTTTGTGCACTAAGCGTCGGTCTGCTGTCATGAACCCAGCTACCAAACTTTGAACTGACCAGAATGTTGTCACACGACCATCGTTTGAATAGCACTTTAATAGATTCTTGTGGCGACACCGACAGCACGTATTAATGACAACTAATCGGTTCTGATAGGTAGAGTTTACCATTCTTTCATTCCCGTCTTATATGAAAAACCGAGCCCGAAATATCAAATTTGGAAACTGTTTGAATGGTTGGCTGCTCCAGTCCGGCCATTGCAAACACCTATGGCAATCGACAGATAACGGTTAGAGAAGTTTTCATTCAGTTCCTGCAGTTATTTCTAGAATGTTTCTTGATTGCTCTGGTTGACAGCTGGTGTTGGTGCGTAGAAGGCATTTCAGGGATAATAGAAAGTGTCCCCTACAGTCGTACATAAGCCAGTCGGTTAGTGACTGGGTTTTATTCCAGCATTGTATAGTTCACTTATTTCCAGAGGGCGATCGCCACACGTTATTTATCGGAAGGGTCGCAAGAAGCCGCTGTAAGATAGAGGTAGGTGTTGGTTGATTCCAGAGATCTTGATTTTTTCTCTCTCTCCACCCCACGAACTTCCAATACCAAGAAGTATTCAAGATCACCGGCAATAAGCTTTGACACCGTGGCTGCTCGACTATTCCTGTTCATCTTAGGCGTACGTGAGCAAATTTTGTTCATGTGCTCATTCAGTAGATCCAAATTAGGATGGAAGGATCGTCTCCGTCGTACTGTGAGTTAACAAGACCTCCAGAGCTTATGCTGTATACACGCAGATGCTAATCCTGTACAAGACGGTCAGTAAGCTACACGCATTGCGGATGATGTGGCCAGAATTAAAATCAAGCGAATAAATACACACCCGCAGACTAAATACGCCTAATTGATCCAAAGGTGATGGCAAGCGCTCCCCGACATTGCCAGATGGACGTCTCAAAGCGCGTGTGTCAATTAGAGAAGGACGTGACCGCAAAACTTCATGCATCGTTTGCAAGCCGGAATAATAGAAAGGACCTTCAGAGCAAGAGCACATGCCGCCAGAAAACGAAATGCAAGGCAAATGCTGAAACTAAAGTAAACCAAGCGGATGGGGTGGGACAATAATTACCCCTTGTCACCATAAGGCAGTCATATGATGAAATAGAGAAAACCGTGGAGAGAAAGAGTACATAAGGTTAAAACCAAATAAGTAACATTAGCTAATGTTGAGCAGATTTATAGCTCATTTTGATTTTAATTCCTAAGGTTTAAGAGTATTGCGGAAGACTTGCAGAACCCACCTAGCCAACGGTAGAACTTAAAAGACATTAGTGCAAGTATTACAGTCTACAGCGTGCATAGAAATCCATGGAACATGGGGCTTCTAAAGTGTAAGCGGTTACCCTACTGCCCAAAAGTATGAAGACAAATGAGAAACTATTTTAAGGGTTACGACATACTCGTGCGAAAAAAATTCCGGTCATCCACGAGAATCCAGCTACGGCTAGAATACCGAATTAAGTAACGTGCGCTTTTCTGCCTCGTATCGATGGTTAAAACGCATGAAGCCCACGACAAAGAGTCCAACACTCACGACAATTTTAGAAGAAAATGGTTTCTGGCCTCAGATCATGACTAGGGTTAGAATTGTCTGAATAAGGGCAAACTTAGACCGAAACAACACTGCCGCAACTGACCACATTTCTGCCGATAACCCTCTGTCCCGCCAGTATTTTGCTTGCATTTTAGCTTTCATCCCCTTTCCATATAAATGTAGTGGCCCAGGGATAATTTATCAAAAACTACGTATGCTTAACAAATACTCTTCTGAATTCTCTGATGGGAATTTTTGCAACTTTATTTTGAGTGAGTTTGGTCTGATACGCAGCTCGCGGTTCGTTGGTGGTCCATGCAACCAATTCACAAAGCAAACGGATCGGGATGTAGCTGCAGTACGGCCAGTATTTCATGAAAAATTTCAAAATTTGCGAAAGATTAACAATTGCTTGCAAACCGGTATTAATTTGGGTTTTAGTACTGATTATCATGCAGCCTAACCTCAAGCCATTTCATTCACGACCGATTAACGGCCTTTTAAAGAGCTTCTCTCTGACAACTTAAAGTAATCATGTACTGTAAAAAATGCCTACATAAGTAGTATGCATTTAACTCATTGATTTTGACTGCCCTTATACATTACAAATACATTCTTTCCCAGTTGATAGAAAGGTACGCCTTCTTCAATTGTTATACTAGAAGAAAGGGAATCTGTCGATTTTTAAAAGGTTTCTAAATAATTTTGAAATTTCCGTTCGTTATACTAAAATTCAAGCTTTCCAACTGCATGCTGCACACATACTGTCTACAAAAGAAAATATTACCCTGCGGCATGAGGGAGATGTCACATAATTCTTATAAAATGTTGCAGTTGATATGGATCAGACTGTATACTTTATGGATAACAATTATAAATTGACTGATACAATGCATTATGAATAAGCATTTGACGTTTCACTGAAATGTACCCTCCCTTTAAGTATAAAATGTGAAGAAGGGAAATTATCTACCAAATGAGTACGAGAGAATAATTTTGTGAAGGTTTTCTATACAATATTTTGATGTTAAAATACAGTTGAAATCAGTAAATTAAATACATACCACGTTAATCGCAGTTTTTTACAGAATCAGGAAATCAATCCGTTAAACAACTGGCACCTTGATGTGACTGAAACGACGTGAGATTATGCTGCACCATAATAAATATTACAAACCTATGCAATGCCATTTTATGAAAGATTATCCAGCTTCTGCAAATTTCGGAATTTTGCATTAAATACCGGCTGTACTGCAGTTCTGTATGAAGGGATATCCAAAAGTTGTTTTCCTTGATACTTATAGGGCAGGCATATGTTATGAAAAAAAATGTATCCGAACCTCATGAAAGAGTGGGTGGAGAAGGCTCGAAGCAATCTCACTATGCTCCAGGAAGAAGATTTGCCGCACGAAGGCCAGATACTCGAGTAGACCGAGGTGCGTTATAAAGTGCTCCACCAGACATTTGTCGAGTACCCGTGCCCTGCAAAGGAAAAAAAATAAAAAGGCATATACCAGAGGTGTGTATTACCGACACAGACGAGAAAGGTTGGAATAGTCACCCCCACATAGATTACCTTAACTCAATTCAAAATAAGCTCAGACTGTAAAAACAATGGCATATACGCTGAACTCAAGGGCGATCTTGATTTGATTGAGTAAATAATCCAAAAGGGCATCGATTTAATGGCATGTTCGAATGTCACCTATGAATTATTTATTAAGGATACAAGATGGTCAGAACCTAATCTTTGATAGGTATAGGGCTATGGAATGACCTCTCAGGGAGTCAGAAAAAAGTATCCCACGATTTTGCTCCTTGATTCCCTTAAACGAGTTGAATCTGTCAACAACTAATTGCATAGAAATTCGGTGGCTAGCTGGGTACTATGACGTGCTAATAAAACGATAATAAAATGTTAATAAGAGCACTAAATCAACAGACTGATCAGTCAGCTACCCTGTGTAAAAACAAGGCGGTGTCTTTTATGCCTTAAATATGATGGGTAAATCTTTCTTGTGACGCCTCTTTTCTGAGATTACTAATTAAAAAACTACTTTCACATGTCCAGTAGGTCGAATTTCGGCCTATTTAAACATTTCCTTCATTGCGGTAAGCGATATGAGCTGTTCTGATATTGTCATTGGCACATAGGTATTCCTTGCTGACGAACAGGAGTTTACATTGATATATTTTATTCTTTCCGCATGCGTTTCATGCGCATTTTGCGTTCAGTAAAACAAATACAAGCGGCCTAAATTTGTTTCCTACGGCGCATTGATCACGCACTAAACACACACACAACCTACGCCTTACTCAAGCATTAAAACTGCAACAAAGATTTCCAAAAGAAACTTGGGCGGGGGAACTTTTGCCACCAGGCGGCCTTACAAGAAGGCCTTTACCATATAATGGTACTGAAATATGAAGAGTAAAATGAATGGAAACATAAGTAGTTAAAGGATTTACCTTTAGGATGGACACTGATAAAGAAGTTTCTAGACGGTAAATCTAAGTATCTGATAACCAGTTTAGACTAGCTGTTGGTAAACATTCCTCCTGAGAGAAGAAGCTTCGATTTGAAGTCAAAAATCTCTATATTACACTTACTGAACCTGAAGTGGTTTCGTTAACGACTTGTCGAGGATGTAAAAGAACGGAACTTCAGGAAATTCATCGATCTCCGAATTTAGCTGGGCCTCTTCTTGAGTCATCCTGACAGACTTGAGATAACCGGAGAGACTAGCCCTATCCAAAGACTCTAGCGGTATCAGAAAGACGTATAAGCAGGACAGATAAAAGGCAGCCAGGCTCCGTATTTTGTTAATTAAAAAAAGTACAACAGAAGCAGCGACAAAGAAAACTGAAAAAATAAAATGCGAAGATCAATTACGAAAGTCAACTGAATATCTCAAGCGGAAAATGTGCGGATACGGTAAGAATAACTTATATAAACCGCGGACGTCTAGGGTGGGGGTTCTATTTAGGGATATCGATGACGGCAAGTTTAGGATAACGCTAGGTTTTTGTATTAAGGCTACGGTTTAGGTTCAAGTTCCGGCTACTATCAGTATCAGTTTATTGAGGGAAAGATAGGCGAACGCCTTTGAACTCCTTGTTGCTAACAAGATGATAGGGAATAAATGGATACAAAGAAAAATTAAAAATGAATGTCAATTACATGTTCCGGGAACACACCAGAGTCAATTCTCAACAAAATATGACAGACAAAATATGACTACTCGCAAATCACAAGTAGTATAATTTGATGCAGTGTATGAGATAAACCGTTTAGTTCATTGTAATGTGATGCAGTAGTTTTACATGATTTGCATTTGTGCTTGATGCATGTCCAGTCTACTCTTAAATG